TTTTCAGTTGTTTATGTGAGAGTGTTTCAGTAGTGTATGTAAGAGCATTTCACATGTGTTTGTGAGAGGTAATTCTGAATAATGTCCCTGACGGCCCCTCATACAGGTAGGCGTGCACTTATTCTTTATTCTCCACAATCTCTGCAGTCTGGCACACAACATTGCACTTTTCATATGTATTGAGAATAGTGCGCTCAGTTAGCTTAAAGACATGTTTTTTCTTCTTTTTTTTTCTTGATGATGACTGTTCTTTTTAAGGTCATGCTGACAAAGAACCTGGATGTCGCTCGAGGTCTGGTGAATGGAGCACGAGGGGTTGTGGTGGCTTTTGAGTCTGGAAAACATGGCATGTATTTTTTATTTTTTTTTAATCAGTTTGCTGAAATATTTGCTCAGACAAGCCTGAATTTATTGAAAATCTTATTAAATATATTGAAAATATATCCATAGTGGCAAGATTACTTAAAGGAATAGTTTGACATTTTTGGGAAATGCACTTTATTTCCTTTTTGCTGACATTTAGGAAATGGGTGGGGAAATGTCTCACCTAGCATTTTGCATGTTATGAGGCAAAATATGACAAACCTGTTCATATCTCATCTATATCTCCTACACAAACAGAACTGAAAGAGACACGTTTCACAGGGTGTACATTCTAGACATATATTTTTTTTTTTTCTTGGCCAGGTGCAGTGAGCAGGTCAGACAAAAACAAAATGGCAGATTCCTTGATGAAAATTTGACAAATAAGTATTTTTCCCCAGGACTCCCACGTGTGCATTTCCTGTGCGGAGTCACAGAGGTGCTGAAGCCTGAGCGCTGGGTCTTTAAGTCCGGCGGTGGGATCCACCTGAGTCGACAGCAGCTGCCACTTAAACTGGCCTGGGCCATCTCCATCCACAAGAGCCAGGTGAGTACAGGGAAACATTGTTCAGTGTTGCCATGGGACACTAGTGTTTTGTGTGGGTGTCTTTTTGAATGAACGAGTCTCTTGATGAACAGCTGTCTTAATTTAGTTGGTCGGAAATGAATTTGCACCTCTAGACTGCTAAATACTGTTTGATTGAAAACATTGAGATCACCAAGAGAGGGAAGAGGTCAGATATACAGACAGCGTTTGGATGAACGCAATCCTTTCCCTATAACCTACTGACTGACATTGGCCTACCGGCAAATAAGATTGCTTTCACTGATGTCTGATATTTATTCGTTGTGTTGCATCAGTTTTGGGTTGGCTAAATGTTGTGTTGGTATTTCCAGCTTTAATCTAGATCAGAAATATCCGGATTGGATTAAATCTCAAATGTGGGTATTTCAACAAAGGAGATATGATCCTTATCCTGCAAAACTGGGCTATGGATAGTTTTGATGCTAAAAATCAGGATGATCCTGATCCCACTGGAAGGGTGGATGGATTCAAGGTGTAGAGATTATGGTGAATTAAAAAATAGGTGTGAAAAAACATTTTAGTTCACTGAAATAAGAATAAAAACTAGAAGAAATGATACTGATTTAAAAAAAAAAAATAAATAATAATATACAGGAATTGTCTCTAGTTTTCATCATTTGATCAAATGTGTCAACACAACAAGCATAAGGAGGCATTTGTGCGTATGTTTATTGACACTGACCTACATGGTTGAGTGTCAGTGTGTTTGTAATATCTACTCTGAACTTCCTAAATCTTGCCCCTGACAAACCTGTAACTAACACTGAAACTAATAAAAACTAAACTAAAACAAAACATTTTTAACAACAATGCAGATGAGTGGATATGAATAATAAGCAAAGTGATAGGATAGCAAAAATTCAGATCTAAATTAAAGGTTTTAAAATGCTGGGCCCAGAGGATAACCCCTAAGATCATGAACATGGTAAACATTATACCTGGGTCAGTATTAACGTTGCCGTTATTAGCATGTTGACTTTAGCATTTGGCTCTAAGCATCACTGTGCCTAAGTACAGCCTCACTGAGCTGCTGGACTGGCAAGTTCATACTACATATGGATTCTAAGCAGGTTTTGAGCAGACGGCATGCATACTAAATGTGGTCAATTTGAGTGCACTGCTGAGGCACTCTATTCTCCCATAATTCAATGCATTCAAGGAAATGGAGGCGTTGCTCATAGCCAGAAAATTATTAAATTATAGGTTATGGTTAAATATATAGAACTGGTTTGGAGACTGGATTCTGGACACGACATGGTCTTGTTTTAAAGAGTTTCTCTGTTCAGTGAGCACACCACTGTTCCTAATCCTACTTTTCATTGTGATGGATGGCCAGGCACTCTCTCACGCTGTGCCATAACATAACAGAGTGAGAGCATGTTAATCTGCTTTCCAGGTGAACACGGGTTCCCCTTGGCTGGCCACTGACAACCCACCCTCTCTCTCCTCCCCACTTCCTGTCATCCATCCGTGTGTTATCTAATAAATGCCGTTACCAATCACCCAGTTCTCACCAACCGCTCCCACTCTGCTCCCACACCATATTCTATAGCCTGATTTCAGACTCTGAAATTGGTTAGTGGAAAAAAGGGTCCCTCTAGGTAATTGAGTTCATTGGTCACAACCAATGTGCCACCAGTGTCTGATCTACAGCAGAGGAGCTAAAGCGCAGGGAAATAAAAAGGAAATCCCACACCTGCATCCATCAGAGGAAATGAGGGCACCTGAAGAAAAACATGGTGGATTTGAGATATTGCCCGTGTGGCTTTAAATCCTGAAATAATTGCCCCCATTCTTTCAAATGTTTACACTGAAAAATATTTTCTGCAAGAAATAGTTAAAAAAGCAGTCGGTTGTGTTTAGTGCTGGTGACCGGTTTGTGTTACTCACACTTGCCGTAAGCCTAATTGGCATCACAAGTACTGAAGGTTTTTTAACCCTCGTATTGTCTTCCCATTTACTATGCACAGTTTGTCCTCCCGGGTCAAATTGACCCAGTCTGTTTTGACTGCTTATAAAGCATGAGGTATAAAATGATCACCAAATGTTTTTGTTCCACCTTTTTAGTGAACTTGTTTCCAACACATTAACATATTTTACACTTATTTTTGTAATGTATGGTATGATAGACCTAATTTACATAAAATTACAAATCATTTTTGAGTAAAAAAAAGCAGAAATTGTGAATTATTTTCATGATGGTTATGATCAGAAGCACATATGTTGATGCATTATCAGTCTGGTAAATGTCAAAGTTTAGTCAGGATATTTTTTGAAACCATTTAAATTTTTTTAATGGCAGCAAATAGTATAACACCTGTTGTCCTCCCAGGTCAAATTGACCCATCTAGTTTGACTGTTTATAAAGCATAAAGTGTAAAATGATCACACCATTCTGTGTTCCATATTTTTTTTTTTTTTTTTTAGCCAACTTCATTCCAACTCATTACCACAAATTTTAAACTTCTTTTACACCTTTATTTATAGACAGGAGGGTTTTTAATATACTAATGAGCTGTGAAATCCATGTTTTTGGAGATTTTATGTCAAATACTGGAATATCAATCAATATTGAATGTTTTATTTTGAACCACAAAATAAATCTAAATGAGTAAACGCATGCTAGCACATCAGTCATTGTGATCTGCAACCAATTATTTTTTGTTCATTGATTTTAGGGAATGACACTGGATTGTGTGGAAATCTCTCTGGCACGTGTGTTTGAGAGCGGTCAGGCTTATGTTGCCTTGTCTCGGGCTCGGAGTCTGGAAGGTCTGAGGGTCATGGACTTTGACCCCCGCGTGGTCAGGGCAGATCCAGATGTTCTCGTCTTCTATAGGAAACTGAGGAAGGAGAGGCTGCTCATGCAGGTGAGTGCGCTCATGTCATTATCATAACCTGTAGACATTGTCGATAACTGCAGGAGATCCTTTTTTTATTATTTTTTTTTAAGAAATACTTCAACAAACTTTTTAATCTTAAACTGCTTTTTCCAGGCCTCCATGGATGATTTTGTTGGCAACTGCAACAAAGAAAACTCTTGGTGAGACGGTGAATTCATCTACACCTGTAACATTATGCACTGTGTGCGTGAATGATGTGCCAATTATCGTCTTGTTTTATTTCTCCTGGGACTGTTTGGTTTACTGGAACAAATACAACCACAGACATCTACCATCTACCTCATGTTTCCTGTTTTAACCGGCAGTACTAGAAGTCACACTGCCCCCTTCTGATCAGTACTGTAATTTCATTTTTTTTAAGAGCTTATTTTTATGACTTGATTTTTAATTTATTATGATTGCTGACATGTATTCCAATAAAGTTTTAGTCAACTTACATCTCTGCATCCTTTGTCATGTCAAACATCTGTGTTTACCCTATTTCATGTCAAAATTGCAGATGTGAAAAAGGCCCATTTGTCCAAAAATGTCCATTTGACCCAACTGTGTGCCTGTAACATCCAGATCTTTAGATATTTCTGGGCTTTTTATGCCTTTTTATTGGACAGGACAATATTTGAAGACCATTATTATTCAAATTAACAGTTTTTACTCAAAAGTCCAGTTTGATTTTTTCTGACTTTGCGTTCCTTTGTCCTCTAAAGACCAGACATGTACGGGTTGTTGGGTTACTACCTGATGAATATAGATAAGGGAGGGATGGGGACAATATGCAGCAAAGGCTAGGACTAGACTGGCCTACATGTGGCCAGATCAGATGCGGTTTCTCTTATAGTCTGTCATGCAATCACTTCCACTTGTACCAACGAACAATCCAAAGGTTTAAAATGATCCAATTCAGGCAAATGGAAACAAAAGAAGCTTTATTTTCCGGTGAGGACAATGAATTCATGATTGAACCTGAGGTAAATTCTCCCTTATAAGAGCAGTATACTTGATTTTGCATATGAACTGACCGCATTGTGAAGAATAGTCATTTTTTTGCACAACCTTAACAACCTGGAGGCACCCATTATTACCTATACAACCACTGACTCATTACACACACTGCTTCTGATCCTGTCTAAACACAAGTATGCACTGTATAGAGAGCAGCGTGTATTTAGTCCATAAATTCATTTACATTAATACACAGGAGGGCAACAACAAAACTGTCCTGATTATTTTACAGTTTTAGCAGTTAAATAGAATCTACAGCTGCAAGTGGTTGGACAGGCAGGTCATTTCACGTTGTGGAACAGCTTGTGTGATACCTATAAAGACAAAAGGAGAACAGTTACCATCTTTACTAAAAGGCAAAAGCACAAATCAATTCACATGCAGTTTTGTTGCCGTTTGGGCACTGAAAGGGAACAGAGGCACACATTATTTTCTTGAAATCTACCCCTCTTTGTGTCACTAACACACACTTACACAATGGTCCCGTGCATGCAGGAAGTCAAAGAGTTCTTCTGTGCAGTCCTCCAAAGTGTTGGATCTGGAGCTGACCCGGGCTTCACAAGTCTCCAGACGCTCCCTCGTGTGCACACAGTGTTCAGTCTGCTCACACTTTGTTCGTATTACATCTATAGGGTCCTGGGTGGGACAAAAAGTAAATGTGGTATATTATTCAAAATGGTTCGTCATGAAGACTAACTTTACCCAAACAAATTACGATCACCAAATCAACCAATCACATATTTGGCAGTAAATGCTGCTTTCAGCAACTTTGCTCCAACATAATTCATTTTCTGATATCAAAGTCCTTTACTCTCACTCGACATTAATATGTTAAAGCCTGATGCACAAAATCATGTTTACTGATCGTGAATGTGATTTTGGATCCTTTGAATTGGAGTGGTTTAAAGTATAAAGTAGCAGAAAATGGAGATGCTAAATAATGTATAAATGCATTCAAAATGTTCATGAGAAAACAAAACTCTGTACCTGTCTCACAGTAGGATTAGTTGGAGTGTCTTAAAAACAATGACTTCTTGCCCATATCTGGCATTGAAAGGTGTATTCCTTAAAGTTATCTAATGAGACTTGTGTGTCCATACTTGAGTTTTCTTAAAACTCTGAGTGTGAAGGCAGTTGAGTTCCTTGTTCATACTTCAGGAATATGAGTAAAAATGTATGAACAAACTTACCACCATATCTTCCTCTTCTTCCTCCTCTTCTTCTTCCTCTTCCTCAGCAGGCGCATCTTCCTCCTAGTCAGTGACAATAATATGATAAATAGACAAGATAAAATATCTAATTTACAAAGATATAAGGGCTGCAAAAATTCCACTTCTGCTAAAAATAACAATACAACTAAAACTCAAATAGCAAGCCAACACATATTTTAGATTTGAGGGGCTCACAGTAAAAAGTAGTTTAATGAAGTTTAATGTGTATGTGTATGTTTGATGCTACTAGTAAGCTCATATTGAAACGTCTGAACCAGCCGACACTAAACTCGACGTTACAGCTCAGTGTCGGGGTACTGAGCCGGGTTAGGTAAGCTAACTTGGCCAAACACACAAAAAAGCAACTATCAATATTTTCAGTACCTCGTCGTCGGGGTCTCCGTATGTGAGCATCTTCCTCTCGAAAACCATGATTACGGCTCTGAAATTTACTAGAAACAGCAGAGGACAGAGGTCTCTTCAGTAGCACTGCTTCTCGTTGAGGACGTGAGGTCGGTCACACGCAGGAAACGACGAGAAGGATCACCGGATAAAGTTTCCTATTGGTTAAAAGTAATGATTGAAGTTGCTCTGGTCCAATCACCTGCCTAGATTCTGTTTAAGGCCCGCCCATTCGATTAGGCAGTACGTGCGGAACCTTTGTTGTGGCTGTCGGAGCGAGAAGAAGACGGACCCAGAAAACTGTAGCACGGCAGTGATGGCACTGCTCTTGGACAGCAGACTTCTTCTGAGAAAAGTGAAAGATTTAAGGTGTTTCACGCCGAGACGACACCGAGTGAAAGAGAAATGGGTAAGCTGTCAGAGCAGTAATTGATATATCAGTTGTGTAAAAGCGTTGGACTCACGCAGAGATTAGGAATATCTAACATTGGCCACATAGCAGCATGGAGTAGGTATTACTGAAGAGTATTGCATTTTGACAATAACTCTTTATATAAAGGCGTGTGTAATTAATGAGAGCTGGACCTAAGATGTTTGCCCCTCAAATGGAAAATAAATGACAATATCTACAAGTATAACTTGTAGCTGAGTGTAATCAATAGAGTCATGAAATTGTTTAATTTAAGACATAAATAAACTTCTTGATGATTCTGTTGTTCTCTCATACAGTATAATAACATTTAGATTTTCATTTAACAATATAAAATGTTACACAACTTGTCTTTGTCAAATCTTGACCCAAATTCCTGGTGTTTAATTTGACTAATTAAAATAAACATTAAATCTGTGTGTGTTTGGACAGGCTGCCACACGTGCCAAGCAGCCTCCCACCAGCCTGGCCCTGCAGCACTTTGATGCCACCTACGGCGGGCAGCTGGGACAGCTGTGGCCATCAATCCGAGTCGCCTTGCTGTCAGAGAAGAAATACGGAGCCCTGTTCAATAACTTCTCCCACGAGTCTATTCTGGCACACTTAGAAGCCCAGGGATGCAGAGACTTCATCAGTGACACAGGTACAGAGGGTAGGTGTGCACCCAGTGTTTACAGTGAACCTGCCATTGTAGGCTTTCAGGTTTTGATACTGAGAGCTCACACATTGTTTTTTCAGTTTTTTTCCCTTCAGAGCAGCAAGAGATACATTCACATTGTTAATAATATACAGAATTAATTTTATAGGGAATGCGTTGTTCAGAGGTTCAGGTAATATTAGGGTTTTATAATCAACATGCAGTAGGTAGATTGAAGTGTCAGTTATAGCCATTTGTATTTTGATAATACAGAGCATAACATTTACTGATTGTGCACTTAAATCTCCACATAAGCTCTTAACTGAAAGAAACCCAAAGGCTCTATTTGCTAATGCTATATTAAACATTGCAAACTAACCCAGTATTTGTGTGGTTTTCATACAAATTGCATGTGTCTAATGGCAGCCCCTTTATTTTGTGCATATTGAATTTTATTATTATAAAATTCTTCCCCAGAGACCTTTTCTGATGTTCTTCCTTGAGATAAAGTACCACTGGTGCGAAAAACTTTATTTGTAACATTTAGGTTTGTTATGGTTGACAAGCCATAACCAAGGTTGCTGGAAGGTGGTGTACAATTTGAAATATATATTGACTCATATTGTTATTTAGTAGAATTATGATTCAGGGGGTGTATACTAGGGATGCAATCCAGGTTGTGACAAAACCATAACATTGTTTCAGTGTGAACGTTTGGTTTTAAGTTTGTATGTAAGACAAATAGTAAAAAATGCAAAAAAGCCACTGTCTGTCTTCTCTGAAAGCCTTCATATTAAACTCCAGTTTTTTCATGTAATTAAAAAGCACAGTCCCTCTCCTCATATCATCAGTTCTGTATTCTTAATTCCTGCAGCTCAGCCATCTGAGGTAGAAGTTGACGAGGAATCCAACTGTGTTTCTATAAAGAAATCTGACATTGATGGTCAGCTACTATCTCCTCTACAGCTTAGTCCTCACATCAAGTGCTTAGTGTTTCCAAGAGGGGACATCACAAGATTCAAGCCTGCAAGGTGAGAGTATTTGTTGGCATGAGTCCTGTTGTTTAACGTCTTGTACAACTCTGATCGTTTGTAACTTGATAAATATACTGTGTTTACCCTATTTCATGTCAAAATTGCAGATGTGAAAAAGGCCCATTTGTCCAACATGTCCATATTACCCAACTGTGTGCCTGTAACATCCAGATCTTTAGATATTTCTGGGCTTTTTATGCCTTTTTATTGGACAGGACAATATTTGAAGACCATTATTATTCAAATTAACAGTTTTTACTCAAAAGTCCAGTTTGATTTTTTCTGACTTTGCGTTCCTTTGTCCTCTAAAGACCAGACATGTACGGGTTGTTGGGTTACTACCTGATGGACGCAGCATCTGTGCTGCCTGTTCTCGCGTTAGATGTTCAAGAAGGTCACAATGTGCTTGACCTCTGTGCTGCTCCAGGAGGCAAAACCCTGGCTTTACTTCAGACCCAGTCTATAGGTAAGAGAACCGCTCTCACCTGTCTGTTTTCCTCACTGCCGAAACCTCCTTGTCTTCCTCGTCTGTTAGTGCTCTCAGTTGTAGTCAACCCTTCAAGCCTGTGTTTATGTCAAAGGTTTTTTGTGCGTGAATGACTCATCGGTGTCCCGGACTTTGCGACTGAGAAGGGTTCTCCGCAGTTACGTTCCTAAGCAGTTTTTGACAGACGAGAAACTACACATCAGCTCCCTTGACGGCACCAAGTGGGGTGAAGTCGAGAGTAACACTTTTGACAGGGTAAGCCAGTGTTGTCATCACGTTTATCCTTTTTCGAACATAATTTGCAGAGTGCCAGTGCCTGTATTAATGATACAGTCAACCAAATACCACCCCTTTTTTCCACATCCTCCTTCCTTTTGTGTATTCAGGTCCTTGTTGACGTCCCCTGCACCACTGACAGACATTCACTAACAGAGGACGACAACAATATATTCAGTAAGAGCAGAACTGGGGAGAGACGGAGGCTGCCAGAGCTACAGCTGGAGCTGCTACTGTGAGTTCTGAAGAAACTATAAAGATATAAAGTTTGGTTATTACAGTTCAGTCCACTTTACAGCTACAAGTGAACAAACTCCCTTTATCCTGCAGGGCGGGAATCGAAGCAGCTTGTCCAGGTGGGGAAATCCTCTACTCCACCTGCACACTTTCTCAAATCCAGAACCAGAGTGTGGTGGAGCAGGCCATCTTCTTGGCTCAAGAGAACCACGGCATCCGCCTTCAGGTCAGTCAGTACACACTGTAAACTGTGTATCAGAGATTCAGTGATAAATAATAATATTAGTAGTGCAAGGTAACTATGTTCTGACCTCTGGGAAGTAATAAATAATTAATAATTAGAACTCTTTGTTCTCCTTTTTCCCTCTTTGTCCTGATCAAATGTACATGCAGGTTGTTGACCTGAGACCGCTCACACACATGTTTAGGAAAACCTTTCACTTCGCTCCCGACCTCCACCTGGGTGAGATGGTCATCCCACACTTAGCCGCTAACTTTGGCCCCATCTACATGTGCAAGCTAAGGAGGCTTTCATAGACTTGTGGACGGCTTTGCCTAAAAGCTTGTTGACATTTGAATGTCTGTGTCAATGCTTTATGGACTGGATGGAGGCGATGCTCTGGACTGGACTCTGGACTCTGGACTGTAGGAGCACAGTTGAAGGAGAAGATTTCATTGTGGTGGTTGACGGTTGAAACACTGGACTACTGTTGGTTAAATGTGACAGAAAACACAAAGAATCCAGCTGGACCTGGAACATGACATTATAACTGTGGACAACACTGAGTTACAGTTTTCATGGAGATGTTGGACTCTGGTAAACCAATAGGAAAGCCAAGTGAACTGCTATCAGTTAAAACTCTGATTTGAATATTTTCTTTGACTCTGTAGATGTGCTTATGATTAAACCATGTCTTATAACTGTAGTTTCATTTTTGCCCTGTAGGTGGCAACATTAGATAAAGATTAAAGTGTCCTGTATATTCTGTGTCCACTAGAGGACACTAAGGGTGTGAGTAAAGGAGCTCCACTATGTATGTCCTCTTGCACTGTGTCAGATGCACAGAGATGAATATTTCAGGTTGGGGAATGACATTACTGAAACACAAATTTCCATCAGAATTACCTGCTCTCTTTAACTCCCAATGAAAATGGGTCTGGCTTGTTCTATGGTTATTCATCAGGTTTGATGTCTTTGCCTAATAACGCGATATGTGGGTATGTGGAAGGAGGGCATAATGAACAGGCAGGTAATGACTTATTTGACCATTTGGCTTCTCACATCTGAATCTGTGCAACTTTCATTATGATAGCTGGGATTGACTCCGTTTTGCATTGACATCACTCAGAGGTGAAATGTTTCCTCTTATCACAAGCTAATGTGAGCGCAGAGGTGCCTCTTTTCCCCATCACACCGCCGATGACCCTTTATGTTGTCCTGGCCAGGCAATGTAGCGTGAAAAAGGTGTGTGTGTGTGTGTGTATATGTGTGTGCCTAACGAGTCCACCATCCACATCCCACTGTCATTAAGCTGCTCCAAGTGCAGGAGCTGACTCCCATCCCCGTGCAGGGATGGACGGCAGCCATGCGGCTCCCAGATGAACATTAAAGAGGCAGCAGAGAGCTAAAATGGGACGTCTCGCCCTGTTTTGCCCCTCCGCTTTTTTATTCCACAGATGAGTGCAGATAATTTTCTGTGCGATTGTGAGTGATTACTGCATTACTGCGGTAAAAGGGGATGTATCTGGGAATGCAGAGGGAATTAATGACACATAAAAACTATTTTTGTATTGACTGCTTTCGTCTCCAGGGCCTTGAATGCCTCTTCGCACATCGTGTGATTACCTAAACGTATTGTAAATATGTGTTTCCTATGGGCTCTTACATAAATTTACATGTTTTAACACTCAGGAGATGGCAGACTGTTAGAGATGAGTTACTCTCTATTCTGCCTGTCTATAGACTCCACTGACTGTCTGCTTTATTATTGAATTAGCCAATGAACCGCTGTGCATTTGTGTCCCTGTGTGTAAGCCTGTGTTAGGAAGACGTATGCTGTGTATTAGAAAGATGAATCTTATGGATTTACCTACACAACCATGCTTCTTTTTTTAGTAATAAACATGCAAAACACTGTAATAGTGTTATGTTTTCACCTCCTACCTCAAAAGCTACTGAATGGACACTACAGCAGGTTATTAAGTGACTGCAGAAGGGAAAGGAAACATGTCTTACAGGGTCCCCGTTTTGTCTAAATGAGTTGATTACGTGTTTGTGTGTGTGTAGAGTGTAGTCTGTGTATTTAAAGCATATGCTGCTGTTCCTGCTGTGGTGTTTTCCAGCCCACAGGTGAGGATAAGACGTGTGTCCCAGTTGGCAGTGGGAGAGAGGATTTCACCGGTGGGGGTCTTTGTCGCAGATGCAGTGTAGACTGAGCCTAGCAGGATGCGCTCTCTACTGCTCTCAGCCACAGGGCGGATAGAAAATGCTATGTGGCCTTCTTTTTTTTTTTTTTTCCTTCAGCTGTTCATATCTAGGCAGGTTGTACTTGAAGCGTATTTCTGTTTACCTTTTTACAAGCATCCATTGTCATTAGTGAAAGGATCATTTGTATTACGTGTTTCACTCACACTCATATCACAGTATGACAGACAGCAGACTGAGGAGGTGAAGAGTGACTGAGAGCAGGTGACATGCACAGGTTGACTTTGTCTCTTTTCATTCTCTTCAGGGTTTTTTTTTTGCGTAATTCATAATTGATGGATGCTTTCCAGGAAGTTGATCTACTACCACATCCATCAGTGAAGTTTGCAGTCTCTCATACTGTACTCTACAGGCCCGTTTACATTCTGTAACAATAGAACCTTTCTTCATAATATGGTTGGGTTGGACTATATAATAATATATGATCTGTCAACTATCAGGAGATTTTGCTTTGCCATTAATATGGAGGTAAATATTTATTTAGGGAATATTGTATTTTTATATGATTTTTGCATTAATATAAAGATGGACCTTGATTTGTCAAGTATTTTAATTGCCGGATTACTCATTCATGTCAGGGTTTTCTTGTAAATTTGTTAAATCAAATCTGGATTCCAGATTTGATTGAAGCCTGTTTCACCAAATTGTACTACAATTAATGATACTACATTTAATGATATATACACACTTTTTGTTGCAGCTCAGTGTTTCTACTCAAAACTACATACTGCCCTTTTGAGTTACTTCAAACAAGCTCTGTATACCAGCTCATATAGTCAATATGTGATTTAAGCATTCTCCGATAGACTCTATGAACTGTCTGAGAGCAGTCCTGAGCAATGCAGTGAGGCCCACATTGGAAATGCAACCGTAGGTTTAGACTGCAGCCAGATTAAGAAGAGAGAGAATGGGGTTTTTCTTCTCTCTAAGAAGATTACCCGGGGAGGGGTGAGATGGCAGTCAGAGTGTCTAAGAAAAAAAGGACCAGAAGAAAATGGAAGATGAAGTGGAACTAAAGGAGGGTGGCCCAGGATACACAGTTTAGCCACCTGTTGTCTGCCTCTTGATATCACTCTTTCTTTGTTTCTCTATCTCTATAACATCTATCTTTGCACTGTCTCTTGTGTTCATTATTAAACATTAGGATAAAAGTTTTTAAAGTTTTAAAGGTCTTTGGTATAAAAGGGGAAAGGATTGTTGCCATGTTACTTTTTTTTAGAGAAGTTTGAACCTCAAGCATCATGTGTGTGTTGAATGTCTTTCGAGGTAGTTTCTTTTTTTCTTTTTCTTTTTTTTTGCATGTGTATGTGCAGCTGTGAACCTGATTGTACTTGTGCTTCCTTCTCTTAAGTTCCTTCTGGTGGTTTCCAGGAGGGCTTTGATGTGTATCTGGGCAATGCACTATTAGAGGGATTTCCCTGGGCCTGACAGCTCAGAGAATATGCAGCGAAATGGCAATGCCAGTGGGCTAAAAGAATGCTGGAAACAGGATTAGGATCATATTCTGGCAGACCCTGTCACCTCCTCAATGGGCCGAGGTTTCTAATGCTGGCACTTTTCATTCTCGCCATGGTTAAAACCTTTAAGAGAACCATGGAGAGGAGGGAGAAAAAAGCCCTGATTGAATGGTACACTGTGATTTTTGTGTGGGGGGCTTGCTCCGTGGGGTTGTGTGTGTGTGTGTGCGTGTGTGTGCGTGCGTGTGTGTGTGAGAGAGGGAAAGAGGAAGAGAGTCAAGGGAAGAGATGCAGCAAACCAATGAGCCTGTGTGGGTGTAAACTTTTATAAAATACCTTCTTTTTTTGAGAAGTTTGGACAACTAAAATCGGTCTTACCTGAGTTTGAAAGCATTGGGTTCGTATCCTCGTATCACTGCTACAATTTATTGGGTGATTTTCAGACCTCTCTCTATCTCTCTCACACACACACATCACATGCTTAAAGGAAAAAAAGATGGAGATGCGTGTGCAGCCATAAATAGGTGGTTATAGTGGTGAATATACAGCCCTGAGAGATGGAAGCACCTGATCCAGCATCAAGGGCTCAACACACTTGACCCTGCAGCAGTACAATCTAGCAATCCCTGTTCAACCCCCAGGGTGTGTGTGTGTGTG